AATTATTGGCAATTTAAAATAATATAAATATTTGCAATTTAAAATAATATAAATATTGGTAGAATTTAAAATAATTTATAATAAATTATTGGCAATTTAAAATAATATAAATATTTATAATTTAAAAATAATATAAATATTTACAATTTAAAATAGTTTTTAATGAATTACTTAAATTAAATATAACAAAAAATAAATACGATACTCTCTTGCAAATATCATAAGCAAAAAGTCAAAATAATAAGTCTTATCAACAAGAATAATATCATAAGCAAAAAAATAATAATAATAAGGGTATACCCTTTTGCAGATGTCTACTGAGAACATCCATGACTAAAGTAAAATGATATGGGTTTAAGATTTTCTCAAAATTCAAGTTTACATTTAACTCCCTATCTAGACTTATCAACAAGAAGATTATCAACAAAAAAAAATTAAAAAGTTAAGTTACATCCTCTTGCAAATGTCGACTGAGTACATCCATGATTAAAGAAAAAAAAAGAGTCTGCAAGCGCCGGCGGGAGATCAGAGACTTTGCAGGCCGGAGTGAGGGCGTCGGTGGGTGGAGTGAGGGCATCGGCGGCTATAGTTAGGGCATCGGCAGCCGAAGTCCTGCGAACGCAGGTCGGAGGCGAGGGCGAGAGTAGCGTCAGGTCGAAATTTAGTAACACGAAGAAATGAGGATGAAGGCTATGGCGACCAATTTTAGGTCAATTTCCGGAATTTTTCTGCTGATGTATGCCTCCGAAAAAAACTCACTTAACACCGGCGGCCAAATCGCCGATAATACTCGATGCCTAAAAAAACTAGCGGTATATCCAGCGATCAGTTTGCCACCAGAATTTTCGACAGTGCATTATTAAAAATCGTCAGTTATACTGGTAGTCTAACCGCTAGTTTAACGACTGGTATTACCGGTAGTCATTGGATCGCTGGTAAACAACAAATTTCCTATAGTGATAGTACCGTCCTTTTTCTTCGTAAATAGAATAGGGGCCAAACAGAGATAGCTAGATACACTTGAATGGACAAAATCTTTGTCAAACAACTTCTGAAGCTACACCTTCAACCCAATTTTTGAAGCTGCACCTTCAAATATCAATGTCTTTTGGGTGTCATCCTATGTGGAGTCTTGGATATCAAAGCACTATCCTGAAATATATTTATGTAGAACTTGATCTCCATATTAGAATTTTTGTTAATTACCATTATAAAAAATTGTCTTTATTAGATTTAAACGAGAATTTGGCTTTTAATAGGACACAATGGAGAAAAAGGATTCATGTAGCCGACCCCACGTAGTGGGATAAAGGCTTGATGTTGTTGTTGTTGTTGTTGTACCATTATAAAAAATTGTGCAATTTTGACACATGCTCAATTATATTTTAAGTGTTACACTATGATAAAAATGTATATATATGATTAAATTATATATGTTGGGATGGATAAGGGATCCGAATCTTTTGAGATTATGTTTGGGTTAATGAATATTATGGTAGTTATAAGTCATATTTTAATGCTTACCGGCATATTCTGGTGCTATAACCATAAAAGGGAGTTATAAAAGGCCAAAATTCTTTGAAATTTTATTTGGGTCTGAGAAACGTGATATGAATTACTTGTGATATGAATAACTCTATGGTAAGAATTTCAATTTATTTATATGCTCAGTATTATTATTTAAATAATTAGATAAATGTAATGCTCTTACTATATTTTTCAATACAATGATTTATTAGACTGTATTTAACTACTTTTAGCAAAATATTTAATAAAAGAATTTAGAAATTTAGATCAATTTGTGTGGTATGTTGAGCTGTTGTAGTTCATTGTGATTTTACTTTTGATTTTTATGATATAGAGAAGCAAAGGATCTTGTTGATTAGTAGTTCAAGATTAGATTTGAATGTATAGATATTTCTATGTTTTGATTATTGTACAATCATGATTACTTTATTATTCAGTTATATAGTTTATGTATGTAGTCATGTACTATAGTGTATATACATTTTGATGAAATAAAAAATATTATGGACGAGTTTATTTTTAGTATTTGGACGTTTTAGTAGCTCTGTAGTATATAGTTTATTTAAAATGAATATTGAAAGAGAATCTAAAATATTTCAAAACAAAATATTGGGATTTGTCTGTCACAGCTCAACACGATATGACTTATCTTAATCGGATTGGGTTGTGAGTTGTGACACCATAACTATCTTACTTGACTGCCAATGTTTTTTTTATAGCTCTTATTTATAATAGATCATCCAAAATTATGCTTTGATATCAAAATAGATATTGTTACAACTAATCCAATATGATCCACATATAGAACATATCATATCATGTTGAATGATAATTGGCCAAACCCATGATCTAAGTTTTGAAGTCCACAAAATTTTGATGACTTCAAAATTTTTAAATTTATAATAGACTGCGGTGCTACTAATTAACTTCCAACTAAACATAAAGTAAACATCCATAAATTTCTTTTTTATTTCATTCGTCTTTAAAATGTATATATACAATACAATATATGCACTACAGTACATGGTTAAAAATTAAAATAGAGTAAAAAATAAATATTCATGACTATACAAAAATCAATAAACCAAAAAGTACATATACCGACTTTGATAGATTAAAACCTGAGGTCACAGCTGCTCAACCGACTCTTTATCATTTTCTTGATCAGAAATAGAATACAAAATAGATTTGAGACAGCACCGCTCAGTAGGTCAGACCAAATTATCTAAATTTTTAATAATTAATTCATTATGTGTTTAATCAAACATAAAAGTAGTTAATAATAATTTATTATACTAAATATGCTGACTAGAACATTTCTTACATATAACTGAGATATAACAAACTTCCTGACTTTGCATTGAAATTAAATAAATAAGTACTTTATAAATAAGAATGGAAAGCAACAAATTTCTCTTACACTCATATACTTCATATCAAAAATAAATATCAAAATTTTGATCTTTTATGACTCCATATGCTAGTATATCAAAAAATATGACATTATGACTCTCAAATGCATAACACATATTATATATTCAAAAATTCAAATCCTTATGACTCCCAATGCATTCATCACAATATAACTTCTTCTAATATTAGATCTCAACAAAATCACATAATTCCAGTAGATAAGTGCAGATATAATTGCATTGTAATAAAAAAATGCACATAATGCTATATTGATAAACAACATATAGTTGAGAAAATTTTCACAATTTTAGAATTTCATCATATTACTAGGAATTGTTCAAAATATTATTTTGAAGCTTTAATTGCACTCAACCTTATTTTTTGACATCAAAGTTATTTTCTAATTGCTAAAAATGACCAACTTTTCAAATTACTAGGCAAATTTTTTTCATAAAATACCTAAATATCCATAATGATCAAACATACAACATACATAAAGTTGCATTAAAAAGTTTAGTAGATGCAAACAGGGGCGTAGTCAGGATTTTGTTCGTGTGGGGGCACAAAATATTGAAGTAAAAAAAAAAAAATCCTCAACTTTTTTCATCCGAGCTTGGGACCGGCATATGCCATTTTAAGAAAAAAAATTAACAATTAGATTCATTATAAAAATATAAAAAATATATATATAGTAAAGCAAAAAACTTACAATTGAGAACACTAGTCTTGATATTATTCTTATATGTTATCTATAATTTCTCCCGTCGAGTCTTCATTTTTGAAATTGTTGTACAATCAAGTCATTATCAATACTACTAAAAATATCTTTTCCAATATAAATAAATAAACAATCGTTCATTCAGGAGTCTCCCATACGATTGTGTAAATGATTCTTTATAATTTTCATTGCAGAAAATATTCGTTCAATTGTTGTTGTAGCAATTGACAATATTAGAACAAGCTTTATAACTAATAACACCAAAGGAAATATATTATTCTTCCTAGTCTTCACTAATTTCTGAGCAAGTTCTCCAAGTCCTTTTAAATTCATGAATGCATCATTTGAATTTTATAGCTAAGATTCATAAAAATAGTGTAAGATTGTAAGAGGCTCAAACAAGTTTTATAGATAAAACATTTTTAGAACAACACAATATTAACTTAGCCTCCTTCTAGAGAATTAATCATCCCATAACTTCCCACTGAAATAATTCTCTTAAAAATTTTCAGTAAAAGTAACAAGGAAACAATTCAGATAAGATAAACAATAAGCGGAATAAGGAAAGGAAACGAACCTGGAGCCACCAAATAGCAATAGAACCAAACTATATTAGCACATGTTAACATAATTTTACATGTCTCAAATAACCCTTGATGTAATATGCAAACATAGCAAACAAGAAACAAAGTAAAACAACAAGAAATCTAAGCGAGAGAAACAATCAATGTTCGGGCTC